CAAGGTCAGGAATTTTAATAATTGTTCTTTAGCAACACCTCTGTCACTGCTGGAATTTTCTAATCAGACAGCCTATCTGTGCAACATTCAGTCAGTACAGCATGTTAACTTTAATAACCTTATCTTGGTATTCAAATCAACTAGATGTGTTGCTGAGTTACTTAATGCTCCTATAATTCCTTGTTCACTACTCTTCTGACTGCTTCATCTTTTTGCCTGCCTGCCTTCCTTCTTGATGGTAGAAAAAGATATTCACACTTACACCAGCCTTCTGGAGAGCCAGCATATTACTGAAGGTATCACCAGTACATTTGCGCATGACGCACCTAAGCATGTTGTCATGACCCCCCTCCCATCTTTCTTCCTCCACAGTGCTGTTTTTTTGCTTGATCTATAGCTGTTCCACTTAAGACAAGTTATGTTCAATTCTGACATGTATCTATTCCTTCCCATCTGTCTGTTTAGTAAACTGAGAATGAATATTTCGTAACTTTTTGGAGAACTAAAACATTCGAGGCCGCCTTTAGACCACGTGTGCTATTGTCCATGCTAGAAGATATTATTTCTCATCTCCCCTTCTCTCTTCTAGCATGGACAATAGCACACAAGAAGTATATTATTCATTTCTGGTATACACAGTTCAGCACACCTCTGCTGAAGTAGGTGATGTGTAATACAGTATTACTTCTTGTGTACTGTCCAGTAAGGTTTTGCACTGAATAAACAAACTGCTAATTAACGGCTTGCTTTTACATGTCTTTAAAATAAATATGACATCTTGATGTGTGAAGTGTGTTCTACCTTAGTCAGTAATATCCTGGAATGCCAGAGATGGGCAATGTGAATAAATAAAACTGGTCAAGGCTGTAGGTGTTTGATTTCCACTGGTTTATCTCTAAGTAGGGCCTTAATCTGTTAGTCTGACCAGGTAGATGCAGTGGAGCGAGTGATGAAGAAGTTGGATTTCAGTTTGTCCTAGAAGAGGAGATAACAGCTACTTTTATAAACACCATCTGGGGGCTTTTGATCAGGTTGCTTAGACAGATTGTCTGTCTCTGGCTTTTGGATATTACAGTGATGGCCTGCAGGAGCCCTCTCATGCAGACAGTTTGCAAAAAGTGTCCTTCTCCGTATGGTGGAGCTGTTCCTGGGGCTTAGTTTATGTTCTACTGCTTCAGGAAATAAGCAATGCCAGTAAAGTCTATGTAAAGCATCAGTGTGCTATTCTAAACAAAGCTTTTGTTTCCTTTCTGTATTTTTGCTTTGGTTTATCTTAATGTCTTTTGTAGTAGATTTCCCTCAGGAAGTCAGTGACGTTGCCAGTCGTCAGGTAGTCTTGCACAGACATCTTTCCCACCCTCCACCCTTTGCCAGGTTTGGAGGGACTTTTGACTGCTATGCCAGACTTGGGATCAGCAAGGATCCCCTCTTTGATACCAGTCTAACTGGACACAACTAACTCAGTTTACAAACTGCAGGCTACAGTATGAAACTATGGAATCTACTTAAGAGAAGTCATGGTAATATTAAAACACAAGGGTATTCTGAGCGTGTGTAGCTCATGGCTTTACCTGATGGCTTCTACAAGCTCTGCCTCAGCGATTGCCAGAGAGAATTAAACAACACCGAGTCTGCACGTTCCATTGCCTGGCATTGATACCCGTGGTCTGATGCGGCAGTTGTCAGCGCACCTGCAGTTGCTAGTGCTTTGAATTAAGCGATGAGATAGTTTTCTTCAAACATGCTTATTAGCTAGAAGTCGTCGTGTTACTTAGTTGGTAAAACCTGTTGCTGTTCAAGATTTTATTTCTCTTTCAGGAGGTAATACTCGTGCCATAGGTATGATTCTGCAGTATAAGGTGCCAGGATCAGAGGAGCTAACGCAGATGAAATTTACAGCCAGTGAAGACTTCAGCTGTAACAAGAAGCTGTCAGCGAGCTGGCTGGCAGCTATGCATAAGGTAAGAAAAGGAGGCAAAACTTGCAGAAAGCTGAAGAAAATCTTAATAGGGGTGCTTAGTAGCACTTAAGGGAGTATGCAGCCTTAGGAGTCTTTTTTTTCTTTCTATTATTATTTTTATATTTAAGGATTTTAGGACCTTGTTGCTTAAGAAAACAGAAGCTATGGATGGTTGTTATGAACGTGACTTCAGCTTTATGCTCAGATACCTGAAGAAGAGATGCACTACAAAGGGTTTCCCAAGATCTTATGTATGTCGTTAGGTGAAAAGAAGTAGGAATTAGACTTTCAAGTTCCTTAGGTTTTTGTTACTCACTGAAGAATGTGCATTATGAAATACTCTTTTGAACCTAAACTCAGCTAATTGTTTTTACTACTTTATGAAGGTTTAAGGAAGCTGTTGATTTTTTAGAACAGGAACAGGGGTGGGGCCAGGACCCCGTGGAAGACTGTTCCATCTCTTGTTGTTGGGCACTGTATGGCTAATGAAACGGAGGGTTATTATTTCATAAGTCAAAGTTATGGGAGACAAAAACCAAAACCACCCCAACTAGTTCTGGAACTTTGTTCACCTGATTGATAGTTAGAACTGTAATTTGTAAGCTGTTTGCAAATGCAAGTGCGTGGCTGTTTGTTTGCTTCTTTATCGCCATTGTTAAGCTCCCCAGCCACCCCTAACTCCAGCATTTAACTTGTGTTCAGCACAGCACACTCGAACTTTGTATTGCCATATGAGTACAACTTAGCACTTCTTATACCTGTTCTAATTCATCTTTCACAAGCGATGCAACTCCAACAAATATGGTGAGAACAGTATTTTATGGATAAGCTTAACACCCTCCCCCCACTGATTTGTCTCCTTTGAGAGGAGTTTTGAGTAGCTCAGTTGTGAGTAACCGACGAGTGGAGTGAGACTTTCTGAGATCCTAGTTAACAGCACGTAAAAGGACTTGTTGCTAGAGAATGCACATCTGTTCCCATCACAGGGGGTTGGTTGATGCTGTAGTTTGAGACAAATGGAATACCTTGCCAAAACTGTGCAAGGGGGAAGCGGAAGAGGTAGGAGGAACATAGGACAGAATAGCATTGTTTACTGCATATGTTTATAGACAGATTACCAAAATCTCAGAAATACTACTTCTAACTTTTTCAAAGGCAGTTTTGATCAGAAATGGTCATTTCTGACCAAGAAGAAACAAGTGTAAGTTGATCTAAAGTCTTCAGTGACCTCAGGTTCTGCACTTAAAAGTAACCTTGAATAGTTTAAAAAAATTACTGAATGCTATTAAATGCCTTAGACTAAGAAAAACAGCAGAGGAAGAACTTAAAGCCTTGGGTTTAAAGGAAATTTTTGGAGGAGTAGGAAGGAGATTAGGTGGCTAAAAGTGAAACCTCAGTTAACACAATGACATTTTGTCTTCATGTTAGGCAACAAAACTTCTTTATGAGTCCCGGGACCAGTAAGAACAGCAACTTGTTGGCCACTTGAGGGAAGACACCAGCCTCCACGGACCTGCCTCTCCCTTTTTGTTAATGTGACAGCTGGTAACGTTTGCTGTTCTTGACCCTTTCCCATTCCAGTGTGGTTCATTATGTAAGAACTGGCAAATGCAATGTGAGTATTTTTTTGAACCATGAGTATTCACTATAGTGTGCAATATGTATACAATTAATGCTTTAAACAGCCTCACCTTTTAAGACTTTGTATATTTTGTTAAGCCTTTATTGGCACTTAATATGAAAGTGACCTGCACTACAGCTAATGTACAGCACAACTTTTATAGTAACAATTATATATACTGTTTGCTACAAAAAGCAAACAAATGTGTATGTCTCTTCTGCAGAGAATAGTTTTTGGGTATAGATCTCAGGTTTTTCCCTCTATCCAAATGTTTAAAATCAATGTACAATAAAATCTGCCTTAGATATGATTTTATAGAAGTCACTTGATTTTTTAAAAACATTCTTTTAAACATCTAAATATTTCACCAAATACCACCAAATTGGACTTACATGAACATGATTTTGAAACTTTCCTTCTGCAATAAATAAGTTTCCAGATAATTTTTAGTTTTGTATTTTCTTTTTGGTAACTAGCTTTTGTTAATATAACTGTAATGCTATCTGAAATTGTATACAATTTAATGTACAAATATGAATAAATTAATTCACTTATTTAAAAAAAAAAAGATGTGATAATTTCACAATATGTAAAACTTCTTTAATGATGGATACTGTGGTCTCTACTCTCTAAACTCTGAAACTTTTGACTCTTTATAAACAGCACCCTAATTTTAGTCCTAAGTGTTAATAATTGGTTCAACTACTGGGATGAATCCTCCAGCTACACGTGCTGAGCCAAGTGTCTTTCTGCCCTCCGTCTTCCTACACTGGTAAAAATTGAGTAAACAAGCGCACAAGGCTCAGTTGTCAGCTTGCGTGTAAAGGACCCTTGAGAGTTTCTCTAGACAAGTATTAATATGTCACAGTTGGAATAGTGGAGTTTATAGTATAAGGAGGTTCCAAAATTGTTTGGCAAGTCATTTTCTGTGCAGCTGGTACAACAATGAGGAAACTTGAGTTAACAGATAGAACAAGGCAAGCTAGGATTATTCTTTTTTTGTAGACTATGACCAAAGGCACATCTACTGTTGCTACCTATATAAAAATACTGGAGAATGCAGCCATGCCTTAGCAGTACTTTATTGTGCACATTTACATGTTCTCTGAATTAGTGTATCATAGGCTCTTGAAATCATCACATTCATGTAGCAAATTCTTCAACAATAATACCCTTTCACTTTTCACCACAATATATACAGTTAATGCTAACCTGTGGTAAAAGCAAGTTACAGCACTGCAGAAATGGATATATAAATTATACACAGAACTTGTACATGAAGAATTAATCAAATTGCATACTGTTAAATGGAAGAAAATTACAAGAAATATGGCTAAAACTTACAATGGGAAATTCAAAATATACTTTTGGTATATAAAATCATGTACAATTAAAATTCCAGTGAAGTGCTTTTTTTTTTTTTTTTTTCTTGAAACGACAATGTAGTGGAATAGGTTATTGCATAACTTGCCTTGGCAACAGATGTAGGCTGCCAAGAACCACAGAAACTGTCCTCAAATAAGCTATTGCCTTTCTTCAGTCCTTCTCTAAACCTCGTTTCTTTCTTCTCCTTGACTTAGCATCTACACAACCCTCTCTCTACTTCTATCCAGTCCTTCATATTTTCTTCTAGACTGACTCAAATTACACAGTACAACCCTTACCGGACTCTTACCCTTTTCAACTATTGCACTTTCATCCATGCAGACGTACAAATCCCTTAAGCTGCTGCAAGTTCAGTACTAATTGTTTTGTCCGGGATGGACAAGCTCAGGTGGCTAGCAGGGGAACCTTTACATTAGTAGAGGTAACACTGGTGCTGTAGGCTGAATAATGAGAAAATAAAACACCAAGTGAAATACTGTGTGGGGGTTTTGAGAAGTGTACAAATACTGCTGTTATGTTAGTTCTCTAGCTTGATTCTAAATGCAAATAATACTAGATGCTAGACTACGTAAAGCTTTTGTTGGGGTTGTCTAGACTAGGATTTAAGTGTATAGCATGTTACTACTTAAAATCCTAGCCTTCGTAAAGCTTAATTATGCACGTAATAGGTGAAAATCTTGTGTCCTAGAACCCAAAGAGTTGATCAGTAATGAGAACTCAACATTCACTGGTATCGAACAAAATATCCAAAATCCTGATGTGGGACAGTTACTGTGGGGTTGGAGCAAACTGGACAGAATATCTGCACTCCGCAAATGACACCTCTGAACATTTAACACAAGAAAGCTCCTACCGTGGAACTTTAACTTAAAACACTGCTTTAGATGATAGTTGGCGCAACACTGTAGGTAGTGGAGGTATCGCTCTCCTCATCAGTGGTGGGTCACATAAAAACGATCCTCATTTATAAACTGCAGATCTTGAAAATCTTGGATGCTGTCCATTTAACAAGAGAAAGCACCATTAAAACTAAATATCATAGTTTTATTTCTCTGTGTGAAATGATAAAAAATGATGGCTCCAGTGTATGTTTTAAGTTTCCAGTTACCAGCACAGTATTGCACTGTTGTACAAGTGAATTCAAGCAAGGGTTCGCTGTCTAGGTTTTATTCGTGGATATAACTGTGAAAACAGAATAAAAATATTAGGCTTTGCATAGTTGATACCAAGTTAAATATAAATCAATTCAATATAACCAAGGGGTATTTGTTAACAAGAACTGGGTGATGAAGTGTTTTGGAGGGTGAGGTTTTTGTAAGCTACAGCATGTTTTTAGATGACTTGTGAAAAATTAAAGCAGAAGCAGCAGGAGGCCAAGGGCTGACTTACTCCAGCCAACAGCAGCAAAATTGCTGCTCTGAAAATGACTTGGTTCACTTAGCTCAAGATTCCAGACTAGACCACAGGATGCTTTTATCTAAGTACAAGAACTCCCTGTCAAGCCCTAGGGAGAGCTTATTTCCTGCTCTGTAAGGTGGTGGTATGCATTTTGTCCTCTCTCTCTACTTAGTAGCCTTACAGTCCTGGTCTGTCACGACAGCAGTGTTCCATTTGACTGAGAGCAGCATAAACGACTTGCCTAAAGTTGTCATCTTCAAGGCTCTTTCCTGTTTTAAATTTGTACATATCTATATATTGCTTATCTTGTGCCAGGTATTAAACACCTTCCTAAAGGAACTTCCTGGGCCAAAGCTTAGAGCTGCCTAATAGAGCCACCACACGTTACATAGGGGCCCTATATTTTAGCCAAGGGGGAAAAAAAAATCTTTTTAAAGCATAAAATATATTAAATATACTAACTTGCTAAATAAAAAACAGCACTAACATCCTAACCATAGCCTCTCCTTTTTGTTTACAATGACACTGAGGCCAGAGAGAATAAGGATAATCTGCTTTTCACCACGTCATAGCAGTGTATCCAGATGGTGCACGAAGAGATTCTAACCAAAGATCCATCTTGTGTTCTTACTGCAGGAGGAAATAAAAAATAGAAGGGAGAAGGTAACTTAAAAAGAACTTACCCCAAGAAGATTTTTAGGCACATAGCCTTCTTTATCATTGAGGCGGGCCCACCACCACTCTGTTTCAGCGTCATCCTTGCGTCTTAGAATAGTAATGGCATCGCCCTCATGGAATGACAACTCGTCATTATTCTGGGCTTCATAATCCCACAGAGCGTACACCACTCCTTTATTCATCACTCCCAACTTCTCTTGCACTCCTGTTAATAACAAATTAGAGAAAACACTAAGTAGTAAAATACCCTATTTTTCCCTCTGAGATTTGTAGTATGGACACTGTGGCCCAAATATTAGTCTCTTATTAATAATAAAATTTCATTAACAATTATGAACACTTCCATAATGAAATCTAACTGCATGATAAAACCAAAATTTACAGAATAAACCAATTTAGAGCATGAGGTTTTTCTCTTTTATTATATATGCAATAGAAACTACATCTTTTATTCAAATGAGGATAAAAATAGTTTTACAAATGTTTGAGCAAAGCAGCTTTATAGAACTGTTGTATATTTCTCACAGGCCTGCTTTCTACAACAGACCTTATACAGTAACACTTGAAGCTTTTGAAAATCTGCACTGTGTCAGGTATATAGAGCCTTAATAACGCATATATCCTCTGATGTAAATTAAAAATTTGTCTGCTCCATCAAGGTACTCTTCTTGCAAAATATACCTTAGTAACTAAATACATTCTGTAAGTTAATTATTCATAAAGTGTTTATGTTGGAGTATCACTGTCAAGATATTTGACAGCTCACTGTTGCTGTCAAAACCTCCCCATGGAAGCATTTCCTTGAAATTAAGCCAAATTAAACTTTAAAAATCTGTAACATTAGAAGGAGCCTGTGAAGTAACTCAAAGAACAGAAGGACTATGAGCAACATAATAACCAAAAGACTATTTTGGTTTTAGCATTTTGAAAGAACAGGTAGGTGATAGGCAGTACTGTCAAGACTGGGGTCTAAGCGGATGTTTCATGCAGATCAGAGAGACAAAAAGGGATGAATTTTAGAAAAGCTAAAAAAGTTTGTAAAGTAGCATCACAGCTTACCATACAAGAACTGGGAGCACTGAATATAACCTTCTTCCATCTCCTCACATTTGTCTGCAGCAGTTTCTATATCACTTATCGTTGAAGCAAAAATAGCTGCCCCAGATTCAACCAGTAGTTTACAGAGATGAACACTATTGCAAGAAGCTGCACAATGCAAGGGTGTCCTGAAATAAAGCAAAAATGTAGACATGAAAAAATAAACTTCCAGGATTCCTAACTATTTTACCTTGCAATATGGAGTTTAGTCTGTCTATTTTTAAAGGAAGTTGTTCTTTATTATTATAGTATATGTATGCATTGTCCAAAACCTGTCAAGCAACTGGAGTGGATCCCAGGATCTACCTGACGCCAGTAAAGCCGAACATTATAAAATAGATGTTAGCAAAAATGTTGATTTTTCAAAGCTGTTGGGTATAAGAGTATTTTCCATATGAGGAAATTGGAAAGGTAAAATAAGGTGAGGGCAAAACAGATCAGTAGAGCAAGGTTTCACATCCCCTCCAAACGCTTCAGAAGTGCTACATCTACCTCTAAGGCTAGATTCTTCACGAACACCAAAATTTGTGGTGAGTTGTATGAAAACGAAACTTTAACAGATTAACTTTTGTCATTTGTTATTTACAGTTTAGTTATTTCAGCATGTGAACAAGAAATGCAACTATACCACTAAGTAAAACCAAAATATAGTATACTTTATGATTTAAGTGTGCTTGCACATGAGTAGACAGTGTAACCTTGCATTTGAGTTCCTCACCACCTAGAGATTAGAAAGTGCTCGTCTGCTGGGGGTAAAGGGGAAGGAAATTGTTCCCAAAACAGGTCTTGACTAAATTTTGAATGTGCATCAAAATGGCGTTTCTCCCAGATGCTAAGTTAAAAACCTTGACACTTACCACCCATCACTATCTGCTGCATTTACATTTACACCAAAATCAAGCAGGAATTTCACAATGTGGTGATGACCAGCACACACTGCATTATGCAAAGGTGTAATTCCTTCATCATTTGGTTTGCTGGGATCATCAACCTATTGAAAACATAAAATAGTTCAGCACTTTTTTTCCCCCCCCTAAATATTTAAAGAGGTTGCCATTGTTTAGAAGCTCACCTCATATATGATTCGTTGTACAAGATCGAATTCTCCCTCCAAAGAAGCATCTAGGAGGAGGGCCAACGGATTGAACTTCACTCTCAAACCATGGCCTGTTCTTTCTGAGTTAGGTTTCTTCAAGTTGGTACGTTTTGTCTGAGTAGAGATGAAGGTTGGAAGGCATCATTTCAGGTTGCAAAAGTATTACAAATTATTCAGTTACTTTTTTAACTAGATTAAGAATCACATCCTCCTTAAACGGTAATTAGAACTATGCAAACATTTCTATTATAAAGTCTCTAAATAAAAGGCTTGATACCTTACCACGTCTTAGTTGAAAAATGAAAAAGCATGCCAATATCATCTAGAAGCTTCTAATTAAAGGTAGTGAGTACAAGCAACAAAGTACTTACGTCAATGGTTTTTGAGCATCACAATCTTAATTGTATCTAATATGAGCTGAATGTGTTTTTGGTGGATTGTCTGAGACACTGTCGAACTTTTGCTTAGACTAGAAAGCATAACACAATTAAGCCTGAGTATCAGTCTCTACTCAGAGGAATCTTCACCTTGAATTAGCAAAAGTATCTGCTGTAGGTCAGTACTGAAAAGTTACGAGTTTTGTTATGGGAAAGAAAAATACAGAACATGAAGCTATTTTATGTGACATTCTAGCTGGTGTTTATCAGAAGCAGCATTCTCAAGATCTGAAACACATTTAAATGTGTTTTGAGAATATTCTGAATCATTCACAGGTCCTTGTCACTTGCCAGGAAAAAAAAAAATCTGTTACTAATTACAGCTTTTATAGAATGCTTTTAGTCTGTAGCACTGTGAGATCCGTTTTCATTTATGCTCTTATTTAGTATGGCTGTTTCAGTTTGGAAAATAAACCTCTCACAGTATGAATAATATCTGTTGCTAGCATATTCCACTCTCCCAGAAGTATCCTGGCCCACTTGTGCTCACGGAAAATGCATACAAGGTCCTGTGCAGCCTGTAGTCAAATTGTAAGAGGAATACAAGGTCCCTACATGAATCAAGAAGAGGAGATATTCTTTGAAACCAATGTTGAAGTGAATCATATCAACAACTAAGAATAAAATTCAGTTTTCTCCCTATTTTCATTTCTCCGTATGCTGTAGATTTTGGTAATGACAAGTATTTAAAAGATTTTGGTGCAGCTGGAGGAGGGACTTTGAAAGCAATTCAAATTACGCCACAAGCCTGTTAGAAAAACATTTCTGCTAAAACAAGTCAGCTGTGTTGCTGTTAGTGTTGTCAGCCCTGGTCTCACATCTTTCTGCTGAGAGGGGAAAAGGAGTGCACTTCTCCCAGAACAGTTATTTCAGCTTGCCTGCAAATTAAAAAGCTTCCCACTGCCATAGCTTACCCCTAGTTTCATACAAATAAGTTATCTTTGTAGGCCCGGTGAAATGAAAAAAAAAATTTTAATGGAATCTCAGATCCCAGAATTAGTTCTACAACAAGAGTATATCCCAAAAAAGTTCTACAGCCTAAAGTACATACACAACTTCCTGTTGCCTCTTTGCATATTTTCCTTATTAAAAAGCTATATTAGTAAAGAAACTAATCCATGAGAACTCTTCTTGGAGCCCCCCTGGTATTGTTTTCTTTTCTTTTAATATCATGAAACTTGAAGTGCAGACTTACCATTTAGCGTAAGCTTACCATCTTCCAGTTATGCTTAAACAGACAGCTAATTCTATAGTTCACAAAATCGTCTTCTTGCTTTGTTACTTACTGGAGGAAGTGGAGGAGGAAGAGCAGGAGGCAAAGGAGCTTCATCTTCTACTGGAGAACTGACCTCGGGCGTGGGACTGGATGACTGTTCAGTAGAAGGAACTATAGCAGGATTGTTGTTGTTATCTTCAGTTGTCTCAGATGTTTGATTTGTGGTTTCAGTGCTTATCAGTTCCTCAGTAGCAGGAGAAGGTAATTCATTATCATTGGCATCTGACGAAGGGGGTGGCTCATCAGGAAGAGGAACTGTCGGTTGCACAGAAATAGGTTCTTCAATATTGCCATTGGTACTAGCATTACCATTATCAACATCAGCTAAGATGCCTATGAAGTCCTGTGGATTGCTTGGCTGATAAAAAGGAGCACTTTCTATTCCTCCAGCAAGAGTGTTAAAGCGCTGATACAATAATTTTTGTATATTTGGTCCACTTGGGCCTTCTGGTTCAGTGATAGAACTACGCTTCTTTAATGGCCTAGGAGCATTGGCCAATTTTCTTCTCAGAGCTTCAAGGTCAGCATCACTTTGATATCGTAGGGGTGAATGCACAATAGGCGTGAGCTTAGTAGGACTGAGAGGACGAGGAATGTTTTCCACATTGCTATTTTCACTGGATGGTGGAGCATTTTCCAGCTCTTGATCTTTTTCAGAGACCTCAGTCTGAGGCTGAGATTGTGGCTGTGAGGAAGTTTGGGCAGGCAAAGAACCATGAAGGAATGGCAAGGGTGAGGGAGAAGTTGAACCAGATTGTAATACAGGTTTTCCATAAACTGAAGAAAAGAAAGATGGAAAACAGTGAAGAACTGTTCTCAAATTACATAATAAAATATTTGCAAATAAACTGCATATGTCTCTGTTGCTACTTGTTTGACACTAATACAGAAAGAAAAAAAATTGAATTAATTATGTTGGAACCTATCAAAACAGAAATAAATACTCACCTGTTGGTGATTGTGATGCCTCTTACAATTCCAAGCTACAAGTAACACCTGGAATGTTTTTCCTCTTTCATGAGAAAACAGTAAGAGGAGAAACACTCTCCTCTCTAGACACTTTTTTCAACTTATTTCTGAAAGTATCGGTAGAGTATCCAGACTGTATTGTTCTAATTCCATCTTGTTTTAAATAAAAGGTAATTGAATGTATACTTATTTATCAGCCCAAAAATATATGGGATCATTTTTCTGTCATGCTGCATACATAAAAATATCTTTCCTCTTCTCACAGATTTAGACTAGTTTTTCAAACTGATACAGAAAGTAAACTAAGCCCAATAATTACATCTTAACAGTCTATTTCAAAGGAAAAAAATAAAGCAAAATATATTCTACCTGCTTTTACTGACTTATTTAAGGTATTGTATACAGCTTGTTGATAATTCTTTGGTGGTGTTGCTTGCTGAAGATACATTGAGTAGATGGAACTGGAGTTCACTGTCTGTGGCCCTTTTCTGGGAGACTGAGGTCTTGATCCTTTATCAGCTAGAAAAGGTCTGATTGCCACAGTTAAAGGGAGTTCTGGCCTGCCATCTCCTCCTGGAAACAAGGGGGGACCGGAAGGTTGATATGTAGGGCTGGGAGGTACAGAAATTCTCTGTTGAATCTGTTGTGAAGAACTGGGCTGATGTATATTGCTTGGCGGCGGAAGTGGAACAGGTCTTTGCCGATTTGTTATACTGGTGCCAGGTCTGGGCAGACTGCCATCCTTTCTTCTTTCTAGAGAATTTGTAGAACCTGTTCCTAAGGGAACTGGACTTGGATAGGTCCCATAGTTTTGAGGCAACTGCTTGCTTACACCAGGAATTGTTGGTGGCACCTTCCCCAGGTCAAGACCCTATGTAAGAACAATTGGCCTTATTTAAGTAAATAAAATACTTGTGAGCAAGAATATTCCTCATTCAACAAAACATACTAATAATCTTATGTGACAGCAAAGGAGTCAATATAAACAATTTGTGTTGCTTAATCACTAGATACGATTCTACCTGAATTTACCACAAGACCTCATCATACGTCAGACAGAGGCTACTGTTTAAAGGCATCTTCAGCTATAATACATCAATATGAATCCAAAACTATTTGCATACTTTCAAAGCCTGAATAACTTGTTCTAGTATCTAGTTGATAATGTTTTTGATAACATATAGTGTGACAACAGAGTTTACAAAACTATTTAAAGACAAGGTCCTTATTCTTTAAACATAGTGTCTTAAAGAATTCATAAAGTACTAGAACAACAGTGCAGACAGACACCACCAGTGGACTCACTCAAGGACGGATTTAGTGATTTCTTTTGTGAGAAAAAGAGTGCATTGAAAAAGTGACAATCTACACCAAGGAAAAATAGTATCGAAGATCTGAATTAGAAAAATAGGAAGGTGGGGGAGATGATTAGGAGAAGCAAAGGGAGAGAAAAGGGGAGACCAGGTATGTAAAAGAACAGGAAGGAATACAAACTACTGAAGTTGAAAAAAAAATATATATTGTAATGTGATAAGAACAGAAAGGAACAGAAGGAATACAAAGGTAATTTTCTTTGTGACTTTTAAAATAATCATCAGCAGGGAAACTGAATGTGCATGTAACTGAAGTGAGTTCAGCTATGGAAGCCAAAGGTTCATAATTTCAGCAAAACAGATCTATAAATATATCACAGATGAAACTCACCAGCTTGTCAGTACTTCCTAATACTGAAGTTGGCAAAGGCTGGCTGGATATAGTTCCTTGTTTTAAAGCAGTATCCATGCTTGATTCTTTCCAGTCTGTGTTGGAGATCTGAGGGGGTTTTACCACAGGGGTTGAGCTCTGTTTAAGTATTGGCCAATTTCCATCATTAGCTTGAAAACAGACAAAAATATTATATTTAAGATAATCCACACCACCATTGTAAACAAGCAAAACAACATGTGAAATGGAACAGCTTAGATTACAACAGGATTAATTTGATTCCAGAAATGAGATAAATCACTATTAATGTTTGATTCAGAAATCAATATTGAAAGCCCAATCACTGCATATAATATGCTGTTCATTACCCTTTGACATTCAAATAGTATTGAAAATTTCTATGAAAAAAAAGATGGTTAAAATTTTGGTTTGAGCGTTGCATATTCTATTAGAAGGCAAACAAGTTCAGAACAAAAATCCTTACAGAAACACTTCATCAACATATTTCTTTTGGTACTATGTGGAGACACTGTCAAATTATGCTAAATGTTAAGTTTACGTAAGCTCTGAGTGGACTTGCTCCAAATTTAAACTATGGTTACTAGATTGATTCACTCATAACAGGAAGTAAAAACTCATTTCAACAATGGGGCGGAACAAAAGCATCCATTACTTTGCTGGAAGTAGCAGTTAATTTACCTTTTGTTTTTCCTCAGTATACTTACCTGATTCGAATTGCCCCAGAGATTTAATTTTAAAGAAATTTATAAAGTCAGCTGACAACTTCAACTCACAGTGTCAAGATACAAGTCATGGGCTTTTATCTTCATCACATGCAAAAAATCATGCATAGTTGCACATAAACTGAGGCAACAAATCCTTAATGAAGTCCTAGATGCATTGATATGTTACTTTATTAACTGTATGAGACTATTTAGTTTTTGTTCTCTAAGTAAGCAAGAGAGTTTAAGTAGCCTGATAATTAGATCTCTTTTATAGTAACTAAATAGATCCCTGGTTAGATCCTAAGGCTTTGATTTGCCTCTAAAAGATTAAACTTCATGTTTCTCTTACTCTAAGGAGACCAGAGATCATTTCTCCTTCCCTGTTGCCTGTAATTATCTTAGTGGAGCATGTAGCATCAGTAAAGATTATATGTAACATGTAACTAACTTTACTAGAGGATAACAACTAAAATGGAGGGGGGTTTGTGTGCGTGTGGAGATTTACTGAGATTTCTGAACTCCCATAGTAAGACAACATCAAATGAAAAACAGGTATTTAATGGCAAAGTTTCCCATTTCATTTCAGTTTTATGCCCCTAGAAAACAGAATCAGCAAGGCTATTTCTAGAATTCTTTGCCATCCTTGTCTAGTATAGCAGATAGTCTAAGAATAAGCTGCATAGGAACATTCTAATTACAGGGAATTTAACATCACCACTCTACTTGCTATCCATAAGCCTTATCCTCTTTATTAAGTATCCCTTTTCTCCCCGCCTGCCCCCCACAAATGACAACCTGAAGATTTCTTGACAATTACCACCCAATGTTTTCACTGTATTAGGTCATAAACCTATTTATAGGCTTATTAAAATCACAGCACTTTTAAGTGAGCAAAAAACCCCAAAGTTACACCTCTGCATTTAAGCTACTATACTAATTATTTTTTAATTATATGTGCAGACCATTCCTTAATATTACACACACTGTATTGTATTAAACTTTGAAATTCAGATCAATTGTGTTTGAATTCTGAGAGATAATTACTTTGGAGCAACAGTATTTTTGTGGTTGGTCATTTAAATAGGGTTAACACTTGCATATTTTTACACTGAGAATATAGTATATAGTCCAGAAATCACTTTTCAGACTTGCAAACTGTCAGGAAGCGAAGTAATGAGGCCCAGCTTTAGTATTGGCAACATCCAAGAACTGGACATGTTGGGTTTTTTGTTTTTGTTTTTAATCATCTGGTTATCCAAAGCAAGACCAAAAAAGATGACTGTCTAAACACTTTGACCCTAAATAATGGCAAATTTTCCAAGTATGCACTGAATTAACATTTACTGTACAAAATACACAGGATGTTCCATAACTCCAGTAAGGTTATGGTTCAGTAAAACTTTTGTTTTGAAGATCAGTAAAAGGTGTTATAACTGATTCACGCTAAACATGAAAGCACCTTTAGCCGTAAGTTTAGCTATTAAGAAAGCACTTACAGAAACAACAGCAAAAATCCCGAAGAATTTAATTATCTTACCTGCAAATACAAGCCCACACTCTTCTATTAGAAAGATAGTTATACAAAAACTTTTTGTAATCCTTCAAATTCCAAATATTAGTGTGTTCATCGCCAAATTCTGAGGTAGCAGACTGGAAGTAAATTCAGACTCTCTCTCCTCCCTCTAACTTCTCTGTTTCATTCCACTTACTTAAACATCAGAATGTAACTGTTCCCACCTTCATGTCCTTCATATTATAATCTGGCAGACTTGCCAACTACCATGCATTTTTTATGAGTGCACCTCTCACGTACTCCCACAACCCAAGCTGAATCTCATGCACTTAACTAAGCTGCTGTTGCAATCTGCAACTGCAGTGTATGGCGCCAGAGGCTGCACGATAGGTGCTAAGAGGAGGCAACCAAACAGCATCTGCCTTCTGCTATCTTTGGTTAGACTGAACAGGTCCCAGACACTCTTGCCCATCTGATGGCAACGCCCTTCTGACAAGCCTTCACTAGCTCCTGCTTTCAGCCACCCCATAGCCATTTCAGCCAACTGGCTTCATTTTCTCCGCCGAATGTACCCTCTTGTCTGCCGCTTGTAAGACCACCTAACACCCCGTGTATTTCAACTCCCACCAGTCCATTTTGTATTTACATAAATAAGACAGTGACATGCAGACACAAAAGATTTTGTGCATTTTCTCTGATTTTACCTAAAAAATTTTGTAGGTCTGGATCCAGGATACTTACTATAGCAACTGAAGCGCAAACCAAGTATAACATTTTTGTCCAATGAAGGCAGCAAGATTCTTGCTATTGACTTGGACAGAGCGACCTTTTATCCCAACTCTGGGGCCAGTGCAACATGGAAACTCAAAGTTTCCCACAAAGTAACTCAAGCTAAACCTGTATGTAATACATCTATCTAATCTGAGATATACTAAAACATGCTTTGGTGATTACCATGGATTTTCTAATAACATCATTTTTCAGTGAAGAAAACTCATCCCTAGTACACTACTCCAGTACTCCAGGATGAATTTGCTGCAAATCTGTTTCCTTCAACGATGAAAAGCAACTTCTCTACAATTTTACATTTCAACAGCATCTTCTGCATGCCAGACCACAACACAAGTTCTAAAGATGCTGTTTAATATGCATCTGTACACAAGAGCTCAGATCACCATATTAAAAACTGAGTTCTTAGCTAGCCAGAGATCTTCTATGGACTCACAGTGCTGGGTGTCAAAGAGAGTAGGTGGCAGGCGGATGACATTGTGAACAGCAGACTGAAGAGAACTGGGAGGTGACAGAATAGGATCCACTATTATGTCTAAATCAGAAACCTTCCAGGTGTCTGGAGATTTCTTCACACACCCATAGTCTGTCTCTACCGGACACACCAAGGCAGATCCAGTTACACAGAAAAAGAAAGAAAAAGAAGTGGTGGAAAAATTATAACAATGACAATGGAGAAATTAGAACAGGAACACTCAGATAATGAGAAATAAAAGCATGACAGTTGAAAAACAATCCTCAATTTCTTTTCCTCCTGGGAGCATATAAGCTTCTCCTCACACAAATCTATCTTACAGGACTTTATTCAACTACATTCAGAGTAATAAAAACAAAGTCAGTCCTAAGGTAGAATAATTACTTTTATAAAATCAGAAAGTTATCATTCAGAGATCTCGTAACCTCCTGAGGCAGGTCTAGAAGTGGGTATGTATATCTTCTGAGGTTGATATTTACAAAATAGTGCATTATTTTTGGTTGGTGAACTTAAAAGTTATGAGCTGTCCTTTCCCATATGTGAAAACAGAACTGTGGCAAATTAAGTCATTCCATATTCTTAAGAGTTTTCCATTTGCATTTTGAATTAAACTGTAAGTATTGTTAAATCACTAATATCAATGGAAAAGACTGGGGTTTTTTTAAGTTCTGTTTGGACAGTTTCACTTCCTGACTTTGGGGTTTTGGGGGGGGAATTTCTGTCATTCTTTCCTATGGAGATGTTCAGACTGTCTTCCCTCCACCTCTTCCTCCCCATTTGGAAGCATACTGCAAGCTTTACCGGAGTATTCAGTTTTAAGTGCTGGAACATATGTGTGAATATTGCAGCAGCTTTGCTCTAGTGGTCATTGCTTATCTCATTTTTAGATGTCTCCTAGGAGACCAGGTAAACTAAGTCCTGTGGTTAGACCCACGGGATCGTGCATTTTCATTTGTATTATGCATGTTTTCCTAGCTAACCATTTCTTAAGAATTCTAATTTTGCTAAGATGTGAGCAGAGAGGTGAGCTTTGCCAGAATTAGAACTTAAGGCACAAATGTTATGACCTGTCTCCTTCAGTCTCCAATGTAAATTTTAAAAAAAAAAAAAAAAAATCTATTTTATAATGTAGATGGTATTATTAATCATGGGAGACATTGGAGCCAATTTTGGACATCACGTTCTGGGGAGTACTCTGGAGGGGAAGCTCCTTCACTAATGAAGGCAGAAACAAGTAAACAGCATCAATGCTAAGGTTATTCCATTTCAGAAATGCTCCAAGCACCACAAATTCTCGTATCTCAGAGCAAAACCTCCCATAGTTTTATTCTATTTTCCTATTTAGTCTCCTTCTGAGAAGTAGTATTATTTTCACTTGCTCACTAGCTTTGTTTTACTAGACAAAAAGCAACATACTGTAAATAGTTGTTTATAATGTAGTTTGCCAAAGTTGTTTTCATTATTATATTCAAACACACAAATCAATTGAAATGCTGTTAAAGACAGAACAGAGAATCTGTGAAGGAACATGTGCTCCTTTTAGTGGTGTACCAGCTAGTAAAATTTCAAGGAAAACACTCAGTCTCCTAAGAAAAATTCATGGAAAGAGGCAAAAATGCTTCATATCAAATGACCGACGTCCAATTCACAGAATAGTATCAAGACATCTAAAATTTGTCTCTTACACTACAGGGATTAGGCCAACACTAGGTCTCCTAAGATTACTCCTTTTCTTTATTACTCCTTTCCAAACCATGTGTATTAATAAACACCACATTTAAGTGCTTACCAGATTTTGATCTTCCATGTGTTGAGCTAGAAGCAATGGTAAGAGACTGTGGTTTAACTGGATCTACCGGTACAGCGTAAGTGCCAGCACTTGGAACTTGGATGTAAGGTCCTACTGCTGCCACCCTTCCTGAAGCACTCAAGGATGACTGGGGTGATGAAGTTCCATTAATACGATTCAACTAAAAAAAAAAAATCAGACAAATTGAAACGTTAACTTCCATCTAATCTAGGCATTTGTGCACGAACAGGAGGTCTAAATTTAATTATCTAGAACCATGCACTATAGCTAATAAAGTTAATAATTAAGTTACCATACTCCATGCTTCTACCCCCAAAAAAAAAAAAAAGAAGTAGAAAACACATTTATTCCCTAAAATCAACACCTCAAAAATTAAATTTCTCAGCCACAGAACATACATTTCTTGTAGAAACCTTTATCTGTATAAGGTCTCTTTCATTGTGCCTTTCTTAGGCAAATGGGCTAAAATGAGTTCTTAAGTGATCAAATATGGTTTTTTTTTAATTTTTAAAAGCAGTACCTCCAGCTAGGAATACATATGGGAATCCAAATTGATCGCTCTAGTCCTTAGATAAATGGTCTACTGTGCAACTGATTTCTTTTCGAAGTTCCAGACAACTATTAAGACTAACTTTATCAGACCATTTTTATTTTTATCAATTTTCCATATTGGAAGATCAGCATTTTATGAAAACCAGACTTTTTATGCTTTCATGCTTTGAAACACAGCCCATAATCACACTTTCCTTCCTAGAAATATAAACTACTGTAATTTTTAATATAGTATTGTCTGTGCCATAAAGAAAAATAAAAGGAAACACATTCTAAGTTTTCTGATATCTATGCAAAACTGTAAAATAGTTTTAAGAAGCCTGCTACTTTTAAAATAGGTTCTTTAGATGTAATTCTATTACTCGGCTAGGAAAAAGTGAGATTCTATGTAGTTTTTATAGGCTCTTGATAAACTAAAGTGTGGCCCTTTTAACAGTTTATCTTACAGGAATGTTTTCTTTTTGACGTGCCTCAACTTTTTTCTTGTACAGTCGTTCACGCAGCTCATTGATTCGCTTGTCCATCATAGCCACCTCCATATTACGTTTGTTTAAGAGTTCTTTCTGCTGCTGAAGCTTGGAGTTCTGCTCCTGGTTAAGCCTGTTACGAATCTTAAAAAAAAAAAAAAAAGCACACTTGTTAGGACAGTTACTTCATTTTGTTTGTTGTCAAGTTGTTTTTTAATACAGTGTTAAAAAACCCAAAGCAATTTGGATCGGTTATGTTCTGACATCTCTAAGGTTATGCTTCCACACAGCCTGTCAAATTAGCATTTGCAACCATGAACAACTCTTAGAAGAAAGCAGCAAAAGAATGTCCTAATAAACTAGTGGCTACCTATTAAATACACACAGACTGCATCCCACTTATAGAAATCGGATTGAAGAATTAGGCATAAAGATATTTCAGAACTGAATTACACTGTGAAAAATTAAGTCACAGAAAATGTTTGTTAAAAGTTATGTTTAACCACCAAGACAGTTTGAGTATCATGAAAACTAAGTGATATAAAACGTGTAACAGAAATTATGCTATTGATTCTGTTTCCAGTTCCACATGAAACTTCTTGATGTCTGAATGGGAGGTTAACTGAACTGCTACTGGAAGGACTGGGTACAGATTTTCCTCTCTACATAGGGATTAAACTGAAACCTTCACAGCAGGTTTACAGTAAGATTAGGGGATGCATTACCTTTATGGTTTAAATCAACCATGACAGTCTTTATAATTATTTCTCTTGTTTCCCATTGGCATTTTTTCATACCTTCAATAACTCTTGACAGTATTGTCTCAGTATTGCAATTTTCATGGTAATGTTACATGCAAAAAAAACCTGAGGCAAATTTAAGTCTTGGTAAACGTGTATGGGATCATTATGAAGCACAAGAGAGAAATCTTAATCTATTGAACATCTTTGCACTTAGAAATAATCATAAGGTAGATACCTGATCTAGTTGAAGATGTCCCTGCTCATTGCAGGGGGAGTTGGACTAGATGACCTTTAAAGGTCCCTTCCAACCCAAACTATTCTACGATTCTGTTCTATGATTCTATATGCCTTGTATAAATGGGGAAAGGGGAAAAAGAAGGAAAAAGGACCCTTACTCCTAATTCATTAAAACGTGATGGATTAATTTGTATGTTGTACTTGCTCATGTAAAGAAATGAGTGAGACTAATTTTGAAATTTAAATTAATTTTGAAATATTAAATATATATTTAGAGCTGTTGCCTTGATCACAATAAAGTACATGAGTAAATAAAAAGCCCTCAAATCCTGACACATTGGCACACAATTAAGTATTCCATAACTTTTAAACATAAAAACTGGACAAAATTTCAATGTAAATGGAATATTTAATTACTCTTGTGAGAACTAGACTTCAGATGTAACAATCTTCTTGGAGGAAGATACATGATAGTGATACAGGGAATACTGTGTGGATATGCTGCAGCTATAGCGCACTGTATAGCACACTATATAGCACACTATATAGCACAGTGAATACAGTGGAGCTTGTATTTTTGATGATTCTGTTAAAATGTGTTATTTAATTCCTATGTATTTTGTTTATTTGCACCAGACATTATAGCTATATTTTCACAATATATTTTAAATATCATTTTATTCACTGTCCAGTCATATCTCCAAGTTAAGATGACATCTAAGTGAGCTTGCTACACCCAGTTCTTTGCAAAATAGAAAAGTACTGAAATGAATTTTTTTCACTCTTTTTTTTTTTTAAGAGAGATTAAAACAAATACTAGATTATGTCAACACTCAGTATTTCAGTATTAGGGGCTGAGAAATGCCCTTCAGAACACTTGCACGCTTTGTATCATTAGGTGTATGAGCAACAACAAAAATAGTTTTTAAAGCTAATGAAATTCTGTTTTAAAGAGGGTTATATGCTAACTACAACCTCACACATTAGCAGCATTCCAATACATCAGTTTTATAAGATGGCACAGAACCAAATGGCCACCCATAAGAGCAGTAATACAACTTTTTAAAATCTACAGCTATCATCCAAATAGCATCTCTCCATTACTTACCTGTAGCTCTTGATACAACTTCTTTAATTCTACTGCTGCAGGTCCTGTCATTTGTCCATTGTAAGACTGAAACCCATTCAGTTTCCCTTTCCTTAAATCCTCCAGTTGCTGAGTAAGTTGATCCACTTTTAACACTGCAGCCTGTAGCTCCTGCTGCTTTTCCTGGAACATGGCACTTATATGCTCAATTTCAGTTGCTAAAATTAACCAGATAAAAATAACAAAAAACAACTAAGTAAAGCAGAAGTTGTTAATTTTTTTAATTCTACAGGTATTGATAAATACAACACACTGGTTTTAAATCTAGTATATGCACGCACCTATAAAATATTTACGTGTTGGGAATTTGCTAACAGTCATAATATTTCCTAATAGTTATAGAATAGTCTTGTTCTGACTTTATACCTGACTACATAAAACAGTTACGTCATATACAAATTTCATAGAAACACAGGACCCTCTGTAAGACAAAAAACATTCTATCTGAAATCCTGCTTCAATGCTATATGGACTAGCAATATAGCATTATTTGCTAGTCATGGGGTGAATAGTAAATAAACTAAATAAATTACTTAAGAATTCCACATACATAGATTGCCATTCATGATCTTGTTGTAGTCCACTTGTCCTCTCATGGCACGGATTTTTTTCAGCTTTGTCTCCTGGGTTTCAACACGTTCTTTAAGTTTTTGAAGCTTTTCACTCTCAGAAACCGACTGCTGCTGACGACGTTCTTGCTGCTTCAGATAACGCAAACGTTGTTCCTGACAAAATGAGGTTTTAGACAAGAGGTACCTGTTACCCATTCATTTTAAAAAAAAAAAAGTTAACTTAGAAAACCCATCACTATGATCAGTGGGGTTTTTTATTTCCAGAAATCAGAAAAATTTGTATCTAGTTAAAATATGTGTCAGTCCTCCTAGAAAAACTCTTCAACGTTAATTGAAGAAATCTGTTTTAGAGCAAAGATTCAAGATGTTTTAGACCTAATATCAAATTGACATATATGTGCAAATACAACCCTAGCCTGAACACTCATTCAAACACATCTGTGAAGCTTCCTCTGGCATTTGTTCTCTGCCACTATTAACACTTTTCCTGCTGTTGCAAAATGAACTTCCAACACTGTTATCCACATTCTCAAAGATGACAAAATATGTCCAACAGACCATTTTAAACAAGCTGACCTACTGTAAGATAATGTTCCAGTTATAAATAACAGTGCTTCTGCTGGACACACAAGGAAAATGTTTCTTTTTCTACATTATTTCCATCGAAAAAGAACAACAGAATTTATAGGTTGATTCCTAAGTACTCCAAGCATCCAATGCATACTGTATATTTTAACACTTACAACAATGTCAAAAACATTAAATCCACTCCCCACTCTGAAAACATACTTAGATTCTTACATCTCAGAGATTTTGGAAATGTAATATATTAATATATACAAAGTGGGTATATTCTCAGTGAATGAGCTACTAAAGATGAGCATAGAGCCAAGCCTGGTCTATCACAGATCATGAAGTGGGCCTCACAAAAGACACAAATAAAACCTAGCAATATTTTTATAAAGACACATAACTTGGCCTGACATGGGTTGTTATAATATCATTTACACTGAAATGTTGGATATTGCCTAGGTTAAGATAAACTTGGTAAAACAATGGATTTCTCAAGCTCTTTCTTAAGCTTATCTAGAATGAATTAGCATGTTTTTCCGTACCCATGAAACTTATGTTTGCATATGTTGAAGAAAATTTGTACTTGTTATGATCTGTATATAATTATTACCTTAGCAACCAACATTTGCTGTTGATTTTCAATCTGCTGCTGTTGCCGGGCAGCCATATCTTGAAGTTCAGAAAGAGTGAGCTCAACACGTGGATTCCCAACCTGCAGAACACAAAATGTGACATTAATGTGTTGATGTTTATTAAGTGTTCTGACTATAGAAGCTAAATCCCCACTCCTCAGAGGAAGGCTAAAGCCTCCTCCGCAGTCTTCAGAGGAAGAATAATGACAGATAACCTATGAAAGAGCAAGGAACCTCAGAGCAGAAAGAGAGGACACAGACCATGCACATACCAGGGACAGAAAGAGCAAAAAGGGGAAAAGCAGATGAAAGAGAAAAACACTAAGAGACAAAACAAACAAGAGAAAAAAGCCCTTATACTACGTTTAACGCTGCTCTGTTAAGATGTTCGGTAGACTCGGTACACAGTACTGGTACGGCACATGTGACAACACACATGCAAGGAGGTATTTTAAGCAGTAATTGGAATCTGAAGCTTCTTTCCTTTCCTAACACTTTCACTGTAACTGCCTTGGCAGCTTTAACTGGTGGTTAGCATTATTTACCTAGCACAGGACAAGACCACATGAGAACCCTTAGATAAAGGCTGTCACTAAGCTCACATCCAAAGATGGTGAAATTTCCTGGCAGATTGGAGCATTTAAGGTAAGAATCTGTGAAAAACAGTCTGTACAAAGTGAAGCAAAGTAAAGTTGATCCCCTTTGGATAAGTAAGTGGCTATTACTGAGCGAACTTTGAATGAAAAGACAAGATATCAGTGGGGCTTTATCACTCCTTTTGCATTCCAAAACTAACAAATAATTTACAAAATTGGGATAGAGAGGCAATTACTGAACATTATTTAAAATTTATATGATGCTGTGTGTCAATGTGTGAGACTGAATATTAGGTGTTTTTAAAAATGGATGCAATTGTTTCAATATATTCATAGTTCTATCACAAATATAATTTAAACCTATACATTAAATTACTTCAATTCAACTACATTTTTTATCATGCAATCACAAGAGAGTGCAGTGTAACAGGACAAATTCCAGAAGCTCACGCTTGCCCAATAGCTGTTTTGCTACTCAGAAAACCAAAACCCACAACCTTAGAATTCCACACTTTAACCACAACTTTAGAATTTGCACAAAAAGAGAATACCAGCCTTTGAAAAACTATGCTGGAAAGTTCAGAATAGCCCAGCATCTGTTTCAAGGTATTTACACGTAATTTAATTTATTGGATCAATGTAAAAGCTGGATTATTGCATTGTAATAATTCAATAAACAATGTAGTATTTTCACCAAACTACATGACTACACTATCAGTAGAACAAATTAAAATCATATCATTTCCTATCCCCAATATAGTCAATACTGCTGAAAAAGAAAAGAGAATTAAATGTTTTGGATATATTGATAAATAAAACTCTCTTTCAAATTAATGTTTACAAAATGGAATGAGGTCTAAACATTTTACAGACACACAAAAAAAAAGAAAGAAAAAAAAAAGACAGACCCCAAACACCTCACCACCCCAATCAATCAAGCATCAGATTGTGGATGTGATCAAACCTGATCCCAAAGAAAAGCCAATTTAGCTGCTCTGCTTTTCTGGGCCCACCCTACTGACTTCCAATGCAGTTCTGTGGTGATCTTGTCTGACAACGTCCCCTGCAATACTTGTACTTCACTCTAAGAAAAGTAAAATTCTCCTCTAACATCTTGTTGATACTGAAGTATCTCAGCCACTTTGAATGGCTTGTTTCATACTCCTACGTCAAATTCCTACTTAAGCAGGTGTCAGTTCTCCAATCAATGCATAATACAGAGCTGTTTCTTTAAGCGTCAGTCAGGAAAGGAAAACAGTATTTGTTTTAAAATAACTGATTTCTCCTTTTTTTTGCTGCTTGAACTCCAATATTTCATGTTTCTGCACACAATTATTCAGGTAAGATATGCACCTCAAGGTCAGTCACTAAAATGAGCCAGATTTGGAAAACCAACTTTTAAAGTTGCTGCATCTTAGACGCATGATAGAGACATGTCAGACTAAAATTTTTAGAGAAAGTTATTGTCCCTCTTTGAACATTTCCTACTGAATAAATTATGGAGCGAAATTGTAATTCTTACTGGACACTACAACTGAAACTCCTCTTACTGGTCAACAATAATGAAAACTATTTATGGTAGAGAAGTGATTAAAAAAAAAGAAAAATCTATGTATTTATTTCATTTATAGCTATATAGAATAGTGGAACTAGAACAAAAGGTAAAATCCACCCAAAACACTAATTCTCTGTTTCAACACTTTTTTAGTGAACACAGTAATTAAAAAAAAAGATTGAATCTAGCAGTGTGTACTTTTTTTAGTAGCATGACTTATGACAGACAAGAGTCCTTCACAATATTCTTTAAAGCCAAATAACTTGTATGCACTTGTGGCCACCAGCTAATATCAAAGAGAGACATTTTATTATTAATTACAGACTGAAAGGCACTAATTGGGTAAGAAAGTAAGGAAGCTTTTCCAAGTGCCATCCACAAACCAAAATGTGTTCACTTGAGACAAGAAAATAACACAGAAGAACCAGATGCTGTTCCCAGAACATGTTCAGGCTCTGCTGACTTCCTCTGGCATGACCTTCCGCCAGCAAAACCTAAAACTCTACGTCTGCTTCTGCTGGACTCTGTACGTAATTCTTAAAAGGGGCTCAGAATGGCTTGAAGGCTTCCCTCTGCATGACCAATTTTAAAAGTAAAAATGTTGGGGGGGTGAATTGATAGTATTTTCTCAATACACATACGCTCTTTTTCAAAAATATACAACTTGCATCAGACTATGCAAAGTCTTCCCAATGCTTCTCTCCTTTCTGCTTTGATCATCAATTTAGCAACATTGATAGCTCATTCTATTCCCAGTAGTAATTTTCAGTATAACACTGTCCAAGAAAGAGAGAGATGTTTTATTCTGCTAAGAAATCTTGTTAAAAATATATCCAGACTAAAAAAGTGGTATCTGTATAGGGGCATATTTCAAGGTAAAAAAGCCATTTCACTGAGTGAAAATTATAGATTTTCTAAATGAAAAACATAACCTGGGATGCACAATGACAATAAGAAACTGGTTTGTAAAAGCTCTGGAAACAAAAAAAAAACAGTTTGATCCAAAAGCTCAGAATTTTTACTGCTTTAAATAAGCATATTTGAAAGTATATCTTATAATGCCTGAAAAAACTACTGCATTATTTTGTATTATCTAAAATATAGGAGATTAATTATGAGTGCAAATATTAGCTCCTCCTTGAAGAAGCTATTAACTATTGTAAAATGTTTTAGAAAGTGTAATGTCTAAAAACATTTTATACATGGCAAAGCACAAGAACATGGGAAACAGTGATAATTAACCATTTAAATTCAAATGCTCTAAGAGAATCTTCTAATGTTTACCTCACTGAATACCAATAAGTGTCCCTTTCACTGAAAATAACTATACTATACTTAGAAAGAAAAGAAGAGGCAGCTGAGGAAACAAAGTTTTAAACCTGTAACTTCACTCGCAGTTTGTTCTTTTTCATCCACATGGCAAAAGCAGCAAACAGACCAAGCAGAATTCCTCTTCAACATCAAATCAATTATTTTCAGATAGATTGTTGCTGATTTCAGGTCTCCAAAACAGGACAGCATCATTTTTGAAACAGCATGAAAAACACTGAATTTTTCTCTTGCCGAGATCTAGCTGAATCAACTCGTTTAGAGCATTTCATATTAGTTGAGTCTGCTTGTAATAATCTGTACGCAAACGCCACCACTGAAAAAAGTCAGTCTCGGTCCTTCTTCAGAACCTCAGGTTATGCAAGGCAAAGAGCGCGCTATATTTTCTCAGTTCTTTAATGAGTTTGTTGGTTTCTCGGATTCTTAAGTTTGTGCTGTTCATACTAGTTACTAATAATTTCGTCCATGAAGTCACTCACCTCTCATAACAAACATGAGCCTATCACATTTAAAGTCCAGATCTCCTCCCTTCTCCTGCAGCAAAAGAAACCTACCTCCTGCAGAACTGCCTTCTGAAGGAGGTACTAAAAAGCCACTACAAATATCCACTCCTCCAGATTCCACAGATTCATTTGCTACATGGTGATACATCAAAGCAGACAGTTTTGCTGAATTGTAAATTTCTTTTTATTGATTCACAGAAGCATTTACACATAGAGATTAACTCCTAAATAAAATGCCATAGAACAAACACTGCATTATTAGGCACTAAGGAAGTATTATGTATGTCTCATACAGACAAGAATACTTTACACCTATATTCCCTAATTTCTTAATATTAACAAGAATCTTAAAAAAACTGTATTTATTTTGTTTAGCATGCACTTTAAAAGGTCATGATGAGAGACAGAATTTGTAATCAACTGGAGTTTCAGCTTCTGACATTCCCCTCCTACTGCAGACTAGTATTTTACCATTTGATGATTAATATTTTTGAGACAGGTGAGATGAATGGTACAGTAGTAATTAAATAGTTTGGGAACCAGTTTACAAGCTGCCTCAAAACAAGTCATACCTTAGGCATTTAATTAAGAAAAGGAACCTCCTTTAATATTTAATTCTACACATTAGTCTTGTCACTCTGAAAATTCATTTTCTTGTTCCTCCTTTCTTTCTTTCTACCCTCACACTATGCTGTTCTGTCTATCATCACAAACTCCTCAGTCTACATGTTTCTGAGCTATTATGAAATGGCTTACTCATTGGCAACCCACAACAGTAAATGAAAAATTCACCTGAACTCAAAATATTTCTTTGACAAGCAAAATGTAGTCAAGACATGTAAGCAATAAGGGCAGATTCCAGTGGTTTTTTGCCTTTACTCCTGTCAGAAAACTATCTTTTAAGAGGAATGTAATTATGTCAATATTAAAATAAAAAACCCATGAGACTGATCTTTTGAAATAGATCATTTTTTCAAAGATGATCATTAGGATGTGGTTTGATTTTATGGCTTTCTTTGCCTCCGTGTCTAAGCGATGAAGATACTTACTTTGGATCATTTTCTAAGTTTGCACTAGTAAGATCAGAAAGTTACTTT